TATATATATATATATATATATATATATATATAAAGATATTTAAATGTAATGTTGATCCAACTTTTTTTTAAGAAAGAAAAGGATTAAGTAAAGTGGTGATATAATACCATATCTTACATGAAGTTAATTTTAATTTTATTTTACAAAAAAAATTATATTAAAGTAAAGTATGACTCTGTGTAAATTCATAATCAATTATCAACTTCTTTAAGAAACGAGACACAAGAAAAATCAAATTCAATATTGTACCTGTTATAAGGTTTTATTATTTATGTCAACGAGGTGGTCATCCAACATGTAACTTGTACCTGTCTGAAGGGCACACTAAGTCTTCTAGTAGTCCGAAGGCCGAACGAGACTCCCGACCCAGTAATCCTATACGCTGAAGAGGGGGTTGGTACCTGCAAAAGGCACTCCAACGCTCAAGTCAGGACAAGCTCGAATCTCTAGGATAATTAATGAACAGTGACGTTACCTTTTGTCCTGAGCTATTTATACTGTCATTTATGGGCCCCGGACCCCATGGGCCTCGCAGCATACTTACCGTATTAGGTAATACACCCTAATCAACTAATTAACCCCTAATTACTTGATTAAAGGTAATAAGTGACGATAGGCCGATCCAGGTGGCCGATTGGCATTCGGCTGCTTGGTTCTGCCATTCAATGGCCGACAGGGTGGTGGCCGACCTCCCTACCCGTACACTGCCCCCCAACCTTGAAGAAAGATGGATCTTTCTTTAAGGGTAAAATGGAGACAGTGGCCCTGGTAAGGTGAACGGTTGCACATTTGTAACCGTTGGATCGTGTGAATTGAACGGTTACACAAATTCAAAAGTTGCATTTTCCCGCCCATTTGATGAGCCTATAAATAGGTGAGTGGTAGGGCCATTCGCACGTATTGCTCTCAACCGAATTGGGGTAGCCGAAGATCTCCAAAGCCGATCTGACTAGGAATTGTTCTACAAAGAAATTGGTAAGCTTTTATAATCATGGTTGATACTTCTACGAGCTCTTCGGCCGACAGCTCTCGGTCGTCGTCATCCGAGGGGACATCGTCCAGCGAGTCAAGTCATCGAAGTATCGTTCGGCTGCCGATTGATGCCGATGGACTGAATGAGGGTGCTTCTTCTTCGGGGGAAACCTCTACTAGCGGGAGTGAAGAGGTTCAGGAAAAGACGAAGCGTGTCTCGAATCGGCAACGATACGGTCTCTCTGATGTGCCCGGTTACGAGTGGGTCAACGGGGAGGTAACTTCCTACTATTCACGTTACCGAGACATAACTATGATAACAAACATGGTGGACTATACAAAATGCTTAAATTTTGACGCTAAGGCGGAGCCGTATCCGATTGGAGTTCGGTCTTGCCAAAATAACGCCTTCCCGAACCCAGACATTGTTTGTTTAGATCAAAGTGGCGCAAAGATGGAGTCATTTTATATGTACGACTGCCTCGTTCGGGACCTGAAGGTAAAGCTGGCGTTTGATGAGTTTACCATGGGGTGTTGAAGGTGTTGAACGTTGCTCCTACTCAATTGCATCTGAATAGCTGGGCGCAATTGCAAGGTTTTAAGCACTTGTGTAAGTGTATCCACATCAAGCCTTCTCCACTCCTTTTTCTATATTTTTACTCTTCCCGCCCTACTATACTGGCGAAGTGGCTCTCCTTGAGCCGAGTGGGTGATCGATTACTGACAGTTTTACCTCGTCATATAAGAATTTTAAGGCGGGATTTTTCTGGGTGACTATCAGGCCGAATGGACGGCGCTTCTTCTTTGGGGAGGATGATAAAAGTATGTTCCCGCTGTACTGGACTCGTGCCCCTCGGCCTTACAACGTGGTGCCGAAGAAGATGCTGACGACCGAAGAGCGGAATGACCTGAAGTTATTACTTCGTCTTCCTCGGCGCTTGCCGACTAGGTCTTTAATTAACTTGGTTGAATCTTCACGTTGGTGGAATGACCTGATAGGTATGTTATCTGTCCTATTTCAATTGTCAATTAAATTCCTATTGATGTTTACCTAACCTTTTTTGCAGAAATCATGGTTACCAGCGGCGCCGATGAGCTGAATATTCGCAACTTGCTTGCTGCTCGGGCGAAGCAAGTCAGACAAGCCGGGGGTGTAGGCACTTCGGAGGTTGCACGCACCCGCCGACCAGATAATGATGACCGAGCACCTCCTTCTCCCGAACGCAAGAAAAAGAAGGGAAAAAAGGGAAAGGAGACCAGTCGAGAACGTCCTAAAAGGAAAGGCGCTGAGGAAAATCCAGAACGCGCTAAGAAGGCCAAGTCAGTGCCCGAGGCATCACCCAATCGGACTGTGATTGTGGTGCCACCTCAGCTAATGTCTCGTGCCTTTCTTGGTGACGATGTGTCGGCCGAGACGTTGATTCGGCCTGACATTGTGTCTCCTTTCGGGCAGGAGTTCTTGGCTAGCCTGGATGCAAGAGCCAAGTGGAGACTCTACTGCGAGGTGCAAACTCGCTCATTGGCCTTAGCCCATCACCTAGCCATGGAACCCATCGGTGAGGTGGTGCATCTGAAACAAAGTTTAGAGGAGGCCGAGAGGACTGCCGCCGAAGCTATCGCGGTGAATGAAGAAGTGACAGCCAAAAATCGGGAGCTGTCGGCCGAATTGGATGCTGTTCGGCGTGACAATGATACTCTTCGTCTGAACCTTCAAAAAGCAGCTAATGAGGAGCGGCGCCGACTGGAGGAGGCTCATGCCGAGTACAACCGCCTAAAGGAGCAGGCGAAAGAGAAGATTGTTGCTCAACATGAAGCCGGGTTTAAACACGCTGTTCGGCAAGCCAAGCACTTCGGCCAATTTGAAGAGGGCTTCGAGTTTGATATGACCCAAGATTTTTACCAAGGGTCATTGATTTCTTTTGCTGATATGCCTGAAGGGGCAAATCCCGATGGGGAAGAGCCAGAGGATGCCCCCCAGGCTGAAGATGCCGAAACCTCTTCCGAGGAAAACACCATGGATGAGGGAAACCCGGAACCTGAGAATGAGGCCGAAGGAAATCCCAAATCTGTCATTCAAGTTGATGCAGCCCGAACTCCGGAAGAGTAGTTTAGTGCTTGATAGGTCTTATGTACTTTTTAACTTTTGTTTGAACAAGTGTAGACTGGGGACCGATAGAGCCTCCTTTTTTAGAATGTAATGATATTGTCTCGTTTTGACTTGTGTCTTTAATACGTCTTCTTCATTCGAAGTACTTGTCAAATTTGCACGTAAGACTCAAGTAATAAGTAGCCGAATCGGTATTATTGTTTGTAAAAATCAAAAGAAACACTTGTATTCTGGAGCAAGATCGAGTGGAGTCCCTCGAAATTGCCTTGTCTTGCTAGCAAAACCGAGTGGAGTCACTCGGAATTGCCTTGTTTTTGAGCAAGACCGAGTGGAGGTCACTCGGACTTGCCTTGATTTACTGGCAATACCGAGTGGAGGTTAATCGGTCTTTCCTTGATTTGTTGGCAAAACCGAGTAGAGGTCACTCGAAATTGCTTGTCTTGCTAGCAAAACCGAGTGGAGTCACTCGGAATTGCCTTGCTTTTTGAGCAAGACCGAGTGGAGGTCAATCGATCTTGCCTTGATTTGCTGGCAAAACCGAGTAGAGGTCACTCGAAATTGCTTGTCTTGCTAGCAAAACCGAGTGGAGTCACTCGGAATTGCCTTGCTTTTTGAGCAAGACCGAGTAGAGGTCACTCGGACTTACCTTGATTTGCTGGCAAAACCGAGTAGAGTTCACTCGGAATTTCTTGTCTTGCTAGCAAAACCGAGTGGAGTCACTCGAAATTGCCTTGCTTTTTGAGCAAGACCGAGTGGAGGTCACTCGGACTTACCTTGATTTGCTGGCAAAACCGAGTAGAGTTCACTCGGAATTTCTTGTCTTGCTAGCAAAACCGAGTGGAGGTCACTCGGGATTGCCTTGCTTTTTGAGCAAGACCGAGTGGAGTTCACTCAGACTTACCTTGATTTGCTGGAAAAACCGAGTAGAGGTCACTCGGAATTGCCTTGTCTTGCTAGCAAAACCGAGTGGAGGTCACTCGGGATTGGATTGATTCTTGGGCAAGACCGAGTGGAGGTCACTCGGGATTGGATTGATTCTTGTTGCTTCTTGATCAACTCGGGAGGGAAGCCTTTTGCGTGATTTTCCGAGGCACATCCTTGGCCGAGTTGATTAACTCGGGAGGGAAGCCTTTTACGTGATTTTGAGGCACATCCTTGGCTGAGTTGATTAACTCGGGAGGGAAGCCTTTTACGTGATTTTCCGAGGCACATCCTTGGCCGAGTTGATTAACTCGGGAGGGAAGCCTTTTGCGTGATTTTCCGAGGCACATCCTTGGCCGAGTTGATTAACTCGGGAGGGAAGCCTTTTACGTGATTTTGAGGCACATCCTTGGCCGAGTTGATCAACTCGGGAGGGAAGCCTTTTGCGTGATTTTGAGGCACATCCTTGGCCGAGTTGATCAACTCGGGAGGGAAGCCTTTTGCGTGATTTTGAGGCACATCCTTGGCCGAGTTGATCAACTCGGGAGGGAAGCCTTTTGCGTGATTTTGAGGCACATCCTTGGCCGAGTTGGTCAACTCGAGAGGGAAGCCTTTTGCGCGAATTTCCGAGAGGGCAAAAACAAACAATGAGATAAAGCGTACTTTATTGATGTGTGCCTCGTTAAAAACCTTGTCGGCCAAAACCCCTTTTCACTTTTTTACAAGGGGAGAAAAGACCGATCAAGGAAAAGAGTGCAACTTGGAATTACATTATGATCAGATTATAACGATTAGCTGTAGTATGTCTTCAAGTGAGATGAATTCCATGTTCTGGGGATGATCTTGCCAGAAAGCTCTTCAAGTTTGTAGGCACCGTTATCAAGGCTATGTCGGACCCGAAACGGGCCATCCCAATTTGCTGCCAACTTGCCTTCCCGTGGATTACGTCTTGCCGGTCCCAGAACTCTCCAGACTAAGTCTCCCTCCTTGAAGCTTCTCTTGGTGAGATTGGAATTGAATCTACGAGCCATTCGTTGCTTGCAAGCTTCGGCTATGATCTGAGCTTTGGTTCGTACTTCGTCAATCATATCGACTTCGGCTCAGAGCGATGCTTCATTGGTTGTCTCATCAAAATGTTGCCGCCGAAAGGAAGGTTCCCCGACTTCAACAGGGATCATGGCATCGGTGCCATATGTTAGCCTAAAAGGTGTTTCTTGAGTTGTGGACTGAGGCATGCACCGATAAGCCCACAGGACTTCTAACAATTGTTCGGCCCAAGCTCCCTTAGCGTCCCCTAATCGCTTCTTTAATTCAGTAAGTATCACCTTATTAGCTGCTTCGGCTTGTCCATTGGACTGCGGCTGTTCGACTGATGTAAATCTGTGTTGAATGCCAAGATCTTGGATAAATCGATTGAGTTTCTGGTCGGTGAATTGCAAACCATTGTCGGTTATGAGAGCATGTGGAATGCCAAAACCATTTTTCAAATCTAAAACCTATTTGTGTTGTAGTGAATGTATGTAGTCGTGCACATGTCCAATTTCTTTTTAGAAAAGTGACGAATTTTCATAACTTTGTTTCCAAATATGTGGTAAAATGATATTTAATCTTGTATAAGATTAAGAACATTGGATAAATCTATATAGTAGAGAACTTTGCTAAACTCTCGAGTCTCGATTCCAACATAACTGAATACCATGCATTAAAACAAGTATCTTGACATACATAATTGGAGTTCAGTTATCATTATCATGAAAATCAAACAGAAATTCACTTTCATTGTTACGACAAAAAACTATCGAAACCTACTCTAAAAAGGATTCCCTAACACGCTAAAATCTATTGGTTTACGTAATAAGGTGTATATTTTTTAAAAAAATAAATGAAGTCTTAGATTCAAATTTTATAAATAAAATTAATAAATAAACACGAGTTATAAGATTTTTATTCCCTCAAATGAATCTCCTCGACTCGAACCAAATTAATTGGTTGAATAACTCTTAAATATATAGAAGGTTTAATTTAAGATAAAAAAGTTACTTAATATTTGGAAAAAATTAATAACTAACATCATAATCCATGAATAACAAAAACACGAGATTGTGTTAATTTCGGATATTTTCATAATCCATTAATAAAAAAGAATAAGATCAAAACATGAATATGGTTCATTTTTATTTTCAGGTATCTTCATAGTGGGCTTAATGAATTAATTAATGAGGAGGAAAATGATGAAAAATGAAAGGGAACAACTGATTTTTAGGATTTGAAAGAATTAATAAATTATGGGTTGAGTACTTAATTGATGAAATCTTTGGGAAGAAAAAACAAAAGTTAAACAAACGCAAAAGCATATATATGGTGGCTTCATACCGTATAATATGCAAAAGGTACTCACTAATAACTTAATAGAATTAATATATATTTTCTTTTAATTGAGAATTTAATTTGTTATGTTGAATTATTTCTAGAGCGAGAGAAAGAAATATGAAGAAAAAAATGCGCACCATAATATTTAAATCCAATGTTGCATATTAATAGTTTGATCTAACAAACTAATCTTTAGAAAATAGTTTTAGATTTAAAACTGAACATAAAATTTATTTTAGTTTAATTTTTATAAAAATAATTTAGTTTTTTCTATTTTAATCTAATTTAATTATTTATTAGTTTAGTTCTAATTAATTATTTAGAAAATTTTTTAATTATAAGTTTTTTTAATAATTAAAGTGCACTAAACTACTTTTTATAATAGTTTAGTTTTTAAAACTAAAATTCAAATATAGTTTAGTTTAGTTTTTATAAAAATTAGTTTAGTTTTTTTATAGTTTAGTTTAGTTTAGCTTTTACAATAGTTTAGTTTAATATAGTTTTTTGAATACCCCTACTCAAATATATTTAAATCTTAATTTCTTAAGCGAGAAATTATAGGTTGTTTAAGAAAAATATCAAATTTTTGATAATTTTTATTAAGCAATTTGCGTGAGATTAAAGACCTAAAAATTGACTAATAAGACTTACCTTTATTCCTAGGAAATAAGTGTGATCAACACTTTACTTAGATTGTAATTCTAAAAGAGTTCTTCAACCTTAATAAAAATTATAAAATCATGCATTGACCAAAGTAAGCATTAAATATAAAGTAAAAGTGATTAAACGAATAAAAATAATGTATTGAATGATAAAAAGGAAGATTATATGAGTGCAACAATTACATCAATCTCTAACAATAAATAACTTAATCAATCATAACTAAGGATTACACAAGAGAAGAGAAATCTTTGGTCAATCTGTGATTATAAGAACCCTCACACAAGAACTCTCTCTAATCTCTCTAAAATTGTGATAAGAAAAGTATTGATTCATTCAGAGATCTTCTAGAGACCCTATTTTTATAACATTTTCTAATGATTTTTTAGGTCATATATATATGTTCACTCAAAGCACCCATGTTGCTCACTATGAGCAAGATTATGCAATAGTTCAGAGTGAGCTAAATGGTAGCTTCGAGCAAGGTGCTAGTTTAGAGCTAGCTTAATGGTAGTTTCAAGCAAAGTGATAGCTCAAAGCAAGTTTAGTGGTAGCTCTAAGGGAATTTTGCTCACTCAAAGCGCTTGAGTAGCTCGCTCTAAGCCGACTGGTATAATTGATACGCATTTGATAAGTATACCAATTGTCAAAGATAGTAAATTAGACAGAAGTTCAAATTATCAAATCCATAAAACTTAAGTAGTAATTGTTTAATAGAATTTTTGTACTAAACAAATGATTTGATAAAAATTTAGATTTGTTCAACAAGAATTATTAAATTTAGCGAAAATAAAATAAAGCAATAAATGGAGATAGAACTAAACTAATAAATAATTAAATTAGATTAAAATAGAAAAAACTAAATTATTTTTATAAAAATTAAACTAAAATAAATTTTATGTTCAGTTTTAAATCTAAAACTATTTTCTAAAGATTAGTTTGTTAGATCAAACTATTAATACAACTGAATTCTTATTATTAATACTTTTTTCGTAACTTTTCAATTTTGTCTATTGTCCACTTTTGAGTTAGTATACTAGTGATTTAGAGCTATTAGTTGTGAATTTCCACGCTAATCACCATTGGATCATCTTGCTTAGGATCGATGCCTTGAAAATTAGCATCAGTGAAAGTTATTGTTGGTAATCGTCGGGGAGGTTGCCTATCCACATTATTTGCCGAACGAATAGCTCTAAGGTGTCTCTTTCGGGCAGAAGATGTCGAGCCGCCACCCGCAAATCCACGTGCGATTGTGTTTATGACCCTCCGACGTGAAGGTGCCGAATCATCTTTCTTTTCTTGCGACCTACTTCGCTCGCGCCGAGGTCTATCAGACCGATCCTGCGCATGCCGATCATTGTGTCAATACTGAGGCGAGGAGCGGGGACGATATGAAGCTGGCCGATCCACAAAATTGTGCAACTTGCCTTGCTTGACCAAATCTTCAATTTTATCTTTTAAGGCGGCACACTCTTCAGTTGAGTGTCCGCGATTTCGGTGATACCTGCAGGTTTTGCTGGTATCGGCGCGTGGCGGAGTGGAAGCTCTCTTTGGAACCGCCAACACTTCTGCTGCCAAAGCTTGCTCCAGTATCGCTGCCCGGCTTGCATTAAGAGGGGTGTAATTGGAGTATTTGGGACCTCGCACGGGTCGGTCCCGAAGAGCTATTTCTTTGCCTCGCCCCCTGTATGTCTGTTCGATTGGCTTCTCGGGTTTGGCCGACTGGTCAGCCCGGGCCTGATTTCGAAATTCGGCCAACTCCTCCATTTGCATATATTTATCCGCTCTCCTGCGCAGATCATTCATATCTGAAGGAGGCTTCTTGCATAGGCTATTGACGAATGGCCCTGGTTTTAAAGCCGTCGTCAGGTGATGAAGTGTTACCGCTGGGTTAAGATCTCGGATTTCCAAGGATGCCTTGTTGAACCAATCCATGAAAGTTCGAAGCGATTCTTTCTTATCTTGCCGAAGGCTAACCAACGACAAAGATGTCAAGCTATGGGGACGGCTTGTTGCAAACTGAACTGTGAATTGAGATGACAGAGTATTGAATGATTCGATCGAGTTAGGGGGTAGCCGAGTGAACCAGCTCAACGCCCTACCCTTGAGGGATGTGGGGAAAATGCGACACAATGCAGCATCATCCGTAGTACTCAGGGTTACCTGCGTAAGAAAAACATCAAGATGTTCATCAGGATCAGTGGTACCATCATATTTATCAATGGGTAAAGATTTCCAATTGTCCAAAAGAGAGAGCTGCATTATGGAGGGGGTGAAAGGGTGTCGGTGTGAGCCGATAGTTGTCAAATCTGCGGGCCGACCGACAGTGGGTAAGGCCGAAGGGTGCTTTTCAGGTGCTACTGCCGAGGCACGAGGGACCGATGTATGGATCGTATGGGACTGGTGCGACCCTTGAGTTTGCGTATTGGTGACCTGAGTAGGTTTCCATGAGGTGTCTTGATTCCTTAGTGCCTCATTCTTAGCTTTCAAGGCCGAAAGCTCCCTAGCATCTTTTTCTCGCTGTTGTTTCATAGCCTCCATCTCTTGTTTCAATAGACGGACGGTTTCAGAAAGGTTGGTTTCATCCACCACCTCGACATGTTCTTCTTCGTGTTCCTGATCTACCGTGTTCGTCCTCCTTGTTATCGCCATTGTCTTGCTCGATTAATCTCTAAGATCGTCTCGGTTCGGCCCCACGGTGGGCGCCAAATGTACCTGTCTGAAGGGCACACTAAGTCTTCTAGTAATCCGAAGGCCGAACGAGACTCCCGACCTAGTAATCCGATACGCTGAAGAGGGGGTTGGTACCTGCAAAAGGCACTCCAACGCTCAAGTCAGGACAAGCTCGAATCTCTAGGATAATTAATGAACAGTGACGTTACCTTTTGTCCTGAGCTATTTATACTGTCATTTATGGGCCCCGGACCCCATGGGCCTCGCAGCATACTTACTGTATTAGGTAATACACCCTAATCAACTAATTAACCCCTAATTACTTGATTAAAGGTAATAAGTGACGATAGGCCGATCCAGGTGGCCGATTGGCATTCGGCTGCCTGGTTCTGTCATTCAATGGCCGACAGGATGGTGGCCGACCTCCCTACCCGTACAAATATCATGTCTTAAATTAATGCTTTACATGAAGTTAATTTGTAATCAAAGTTAACATATAATAAAAATAGTTTGTAATCAACGACCAGATAATTACAAACATATATGGAAGGTAATCTGGGGTCAACAAGTAATTTAGACTTAAAAATATCGCGTGTATACAAAAAAAATAAATTATAAAGCCTCTAATTAAACACAAGCCTTTTACATTTTTATTAATTAGCTTTTACTCATTTATTTCCAATAGCCTTTTAATTTATATATTTTCTTATTTACGATCTTTCATTAACTTGATTGTCTGTACATATTTCATTTACCGTTCTTTCCAAACTTCTAGAAGTATTCATTTTTTCAACTAAGTACTTTTTAAGAATAGTTGGGAAACTTAGTTGAAAGAAAAGTCTCTTGACAAGCAGAAATCATTATGTTTGTAATTTGATAATACTTCGTCTATATTAATTGATTTCTTCGATTGAATATTATTGCAGAAATTAAAACAGGAAAAACATATATTAAAACAATTAAAATTAATAGGGAAGCAAAACGATAAAGTTTAACCCGTCAATAATTCTACCTATAGAACAATAAAGAAAGTGATTGTAGATATTGAAATAATATCGTATGTCAATTCAAGCAAACAGGAAAAGATTCATATAATTGTGAAAGATATTTCACAGAAATCTCAACACTTAAAAGTTTCACCAACTTTATTAATATTTTTTATGTCATTAAAAACATGCTTAAATACTTCTATAAATGTAGAATTGTTATCAATCATACATGTCATGCTTAGAGTGAAGTAGCATTTCTCTTATTCCTAAATTTTGCAGTACCAAAACCACTTGCACTTCTAAATCCTTATATATATAGGTAGATATCATATAATAAGCATATATATACCTTCACATTCATATTCATTAAAACTAGAATTGGAAACTGTAGGATCTCTCAGCATCTTGTTCTTGAAGTTCTTTTATTTCTTGCTAACCTACCTATCACTCTTTTACATGTATTAAAGCACTATAGTATATATATCAACTTCAGAAGCAGGTAGCAGCAAGACAATATGTCACAAGGTAGAGTGATGAAGCAAATAGAAGAGAAGAGCTTGAACAAAGCACAGATTTGTGGACCCTTTAAATCCTTCAGAAGAAGATGCACCATGCTGGTCAAGGAGCATAGGGCCAGGTTCTATATCCTTCGACGCTGTGTCACAATGCTTATTTGCTGGCAAGATAATTCTGATGACTATTGAAAATATTGCTTATTATACATGCACTCTCTCTTCTCCGTTCCTTTTTCTTCTCTGGGTGTTGGTGCATGCATGATAGAGTTTGGTGTTCACCAAACTTTTATCAAGTATTTTAAGTATATAAATATAAATATGTATATATATTAAAAGTTCATATTAGAATAAGACAGATATCATATGTAAAATTAGAGTCAACAATCAAGATTTCAAGTTTTTAAAGAATATATACTAGCTTTAGCTTGATTTAATATTAACATAATCATGTATATATGAAGTTGTATGTTTTGTGTGGGATGCATCTAATGTAATGTTTGCGAGAGTGTATATATGATAGGTGTTCTTAAAGTATATGTGATATATATGATGGACTGCATTCACCAAAAAAAATGTGTTAGTATATATAATTGCGACGAACTTTACGTATTTGCATTTCAACGTATGTGTTTCGAGCTGTTTAACGTCCAATAATTAATGGATCTATGGGTGCCGATTTCTAGTTTTCTACTGGTTCTGCATAAACTCATTGTTTTTCTCACTACTGTTAACATTAGACTCATAAGTTTCTTATATATTTAGATTTTCTTTAATTTACTGCCAGAGATTAATTTCTGTCAAAATATTAAAA